AACCCTACACCTTATACGGCACCTAAAAGAAAAGGGTCCAAAAAAGGCAGGGTTTGGAGGCCCTATACAATGAACCCTAAACCCTAAACCCAGTTTTAGAGGCCCTATACGGTGCTGTCCGTTTCCAGGAGAGCCCCGACCTCACCCGTGAGCCCTGGGAGCCCCGGGGGAAGGCTCCGGAGGAGGAGAAAGGCGGACCTGAGGGAGTTGAGGGGTTTAGGGTTTTAGGGGTTAGGGGTTTAGGCGTTTAGGGGTTTAGGTTTCGGGTTTAGGGGTTTAGGGTTTAGGGGTTTAGGGGTTAGGGGTTTCGGGGAGTTGCAGCGGAGAGTTCGGGGCTTAGGGCATCGGGGTCGGGATTCCTTTGAGTTCGGGGCTCCCTGCAGGGTTCTCAGAACGTTCTCTACAGGGGTTCTATAGCAAGGGCTTAGCGGTTTAGGATTTAGGGTCTAGGGTTTAGGGATTATAGGGTTTTGGGTTTTGGGTATACCCATAGGCTCCATAGTAATTAGTTCCTTTTTGGGAATACGTGTAAAGGATCCTAAATATAAACCACAAAAAGGAACTACTATGGAGCCTATGGGTAAGGCTTCTGTAGTAAGTAAGGGTTTGGCGGTAAGGGCCTAGGGCGTTCCTTTATGTTAGACTCTCGGGTTCGGGGCTTAGGGTTGTCAGCTCATTGTACGGTTCTGTTGTGAGGGTGTGTGAGGGTTAAGGGCTTTCTTAGGGTGTACCGAAACCCTAGAGTGTGTGGCAGCTGTTCTCGGAAGAGCGAGTTTATGGGTAAGGCCCATGTAAAGGGGAAAAGGCGACCCCAAAAGGGTATTTCAATCCCGGGTGCAGGTAGGGATTTGGGGATTGGGGGGTGGTGCAGGGTGTACGATTTAGCTTAACCCTAAAGCCTAAACCCTAAACTCCAAAACCCTAAGCCGGAACCAGAACCCTAAACCCAATAAACCCTAAACCCTAAACTACCCTAAACCGTAACTTAGGGTTCGGGTTTAGGATTCAGGCCTCCGAGCCGAAATCTAACAGGGGGGCCTTATAATAATTACCTACACCATTGTTTTTTTTGTTTGTGTTTTTTTTTTGGGGGGGGGTGTTCCTTAGTATAGTTATAGTACCAGATAATAATCACCTACACCATGTTTTTTTTTGGGGGGGGAGGGGGTCCTTATGATAGTTATAGTATCAAGTGCCCCAAAACCCTATTCTGGTTTAGGGAGAAGAAGCTGGTGGCTTCTGTGCTAGAAATCCTGGTGGTGGTTGCAGACTTAGTTGATACTGGTACGATCGTGTCTTCGTATCTTGCTTGCTGGTCTCCGACTTTATTCATGCCCCTGCCAGTTGGCCACAACTGCTTCCTCTGCGGTGCGGAGGAGGGTCCGAGGGGGTAATGTCAATTCTGAAGACCCGTGAATCCTCACAGGTTCGCCATGAGGGAAGACACATGGGTATAGTTCTCTAAACTAGAGTCCCTTCAAGGTTCCTGTTTTATAAGAGTGCCGTACTGTTTGGGGGACCTAGAATGGGACCCAACTGTAGAGTACTACCCATATAGAACCCATCTAAGTACCCTTATAGAAGCCCTTAATAGACTTATAGATAATATAGACTCCCTTTTGAAGAACCCGAAGCCGCTACAGACATTCAGGGACACATGCTGCTCACTCTCAAGTCTCGGTGATACGTTCTCTGGAGTTCCTCGGCCCAGTGGGGGGTTTTCCCGGATTCCTAGACCCTGACTTCCATCGCCTTGTTGGGAAAAGTCGAATTCATGCTCTGAGGCCCGGGAAAGATAGGGTTACTGGAATTATAAGAGCATCTAGATTCTTATAGTTTCTATAATTGAATATCAATGATACTGCACTGCGAAGCCTACACTGGCAGCTACAGTTTCCTGGCATAGATGCAAGGATGGTGGATGTTTTTGAGGGGCCATGCTCCTGCGCGGGGTGCTGCGTTCAAACTGCTTTTGGCAACCCTAAACGCTAAACCCTACACCCTAAACCCCCTGAAGCCCTAAACCCCTGAACCCCTGAACCCCAAAAGCCCTAAACACCAAGAGCCCTAAACCCCCTAAACCCTGTACGCTAAAGCCCAAACCCTAAACCCTAGTTCCAGATAAACCAACCTTTGCAGGTCTCTTGCGATGCAACGGTGATGGGTGCTTATAGGGCTCAGGGTTTAGGGTTTTAGGGTTTAGGATGGGGCTTCGGATGATTTTTTTCAGAGCTTAGCTATAGGGGGTTGAACATGCACAAGCCCGCCAATCGAATTACGCCATCTAAACCGCAATGCCCTACACCAGACGGATAAATTTGTGGAAAATTCGGTCCTGGGATGGTGTGTTTGATGTTTGGAGTGCAAGGTTCAGGATGTAGCAGGCTTTCGGCATGGGGTTTCAGGATTTCAGGTTTTCTGATCAGCAATAAGATTTGTGGAAATTGCGAGGTTTGCAGGTTTGGTGATTGCAGCTCCAGGGATTTGGGTATTATGGTTCTTGGGCATTGGGTCTCCGATTGAGGATTCAGTGTTTGTAGGTTTCTCTTGGCTCTGGACTCTCTGGATTTCGCGCAGGACCACAGCGTCTTCAACTGCAAGTTCTTGGAGCAAGGCGTCGTCATCAAGTCTCCTCACATGGAGACCGTTGAGAGGTGCGCTGGCGGTTCGGGGTGTCCGGCAAGCCCTTCCCAACAGGGGTCTGTTTTTTTGTTGGAGCGTTCTTATAATGCGCTACGCGTCTATATTTTTACCCTGTGTCCAGTATTACTTTCGATGTCCACGGTCAAAGGCGCCCACAGGGTTGACAGAATAGTAACTAGCTGTAGGTAGCTGTGATACCTGAAATTTCAGGTTATCTTCCGTATAAGTAGCGCTGGTGGCGTTGGTCCGCAGTGCTGGCACGACTGGAAACGAGAACCAGGGCACCAACGCGCTAACGATTTCATGCAGTTGCTCCAATAGAATCAACAGATTATTGTTTTCATTAACGACTGGACATTGGAGCACACAGCTGAAGAACAAGCTGAAGCCCGGCATCGAATGATGATGGACGTCATCTACGCGGAAGCGACAAATGCCCATTCGAACATGTGAAAGCCGACCAATCCGGAGGAAGAACCCCTGGGGAGGACTTGGCGGTAGTTCTGGCAGTGGAAAGGGTGCGGAGGCAAAGGCAAGGAAAAGTCCCCTCTGTCCCGGCTAAGGGTGATAAGTGATAAGGTCGGTAAACAGCGCACTCCGTCACCGGCCAAGCGTAGGTGCCTCAGCAAGAAGAGAGGTCAGAGCGCCGACAAGAAAGAGGCATGTTGCCTTTCATCAACTGCCACCCTCACGGGTGTGCCCAGGGTTTCTACATGGGTGAAGCTGCCAAAAAATCGCTGGCCGAAAGCCTGCAAAGGCATGAAAGACCCTGTTGTCCCACTGAAGGTCGCCCTCTACGGGCACCCCGACTCAGGGGGGATATGGGAGAAGCACTGCGAGACGTTGTTGAAGAAGGTGGGCTTCGAAGCGGTACTCACTGACATATGGAAGAGCTTTTTTTTGCCATCCTACCAAAGAAGCTGCTTGTAGTGGTTTATGTTGACGACTTTAAGCTTGCTGGTCCCAAGGCCTCCATCAAGGAGGGATGGGATTCCGTTTCAAGGAAATCTCCAAAGGCCATTGGTAGGTCTTTTGGTTGCATGCACAAGGAAGAACACAACCCGACAAGTACAATCTAAAGGACTCGTACAACATCACGTTCTCCTTTGGTGATTACACAGGGGGAGCACTGTGGATTCAAGGCGCCAGTCAGTTGGGACCCGCAGCGAAGTACATTGATGACAAAGGTGAGGAACACCTGGGATACAATTGCAACACGTACCGCAAGTTCACTATGCTGCACCCACAAACAAAGCATGCTGTACAATCCTATTATCCTATTCGGACGAATGCCACTCTTTTATCGCCTGCTCATCAGGGGGGTTCGGCAAACTGGCAAAAGCTGATAAAGAGTCACTCAAGAAGTTCAAAGTTCGCTTGCCCTCACCTCAGTTGGCGCAACCTCGGCATGCAATGGTATGTGTTAAACCTTGTGCTTGTTCCACTCGATGAGGGGGGTAGTGAGAGCTTTAAGCTGTGTTTTCGCCCGGAGAATCTGTCGTTTGAGCGCGCATTGCTCGAATGCACAAACACACATCACTGCAGAAGAGGAAAATGCGTGTAGACGGATAAAGAACATAAGCATACACAGAATGTCCGACCACGATAAGCAACATACCCACACATACACATGCATGTATTGCATGAACAAACTATTGCAAGGCTATTTGAAATTCACGGACAGAGCCCCAACGGCAGAAGCGTGCTGTTCCACGCTTGCTCGCCGGAGGCTGGAGCGGAGGTATCTCCTGCAAACGGCCTTGGAGGAGCGCAGATGCTGGGGTTGAATCGAGAATGTGTCCTGCGACTAGCTGCCCTTTCGGGGTGGTGTTGTTTTGTTTAGGGTTGGTGTCTCCAAAACATATGAATCTGAGTTTGAGGCCTCTACTGACAAGCGCGTTGCTTCAAAACTTATCGGGCGCAAGTGTAGACCCACAACCCTAAACCCCGAACCCTGCCGTGCTTCTTTTGGGTTCCACATAGACGCATTCGTAGCCTTGGCTTTTTGATCCCAGAATCCTCAAAGTGGTTCGGAGGGGCGGTTGCGTTTTGTCGCGGTCTGAACCCAGATCCATCAAGTTCGAGCACTCCAGGATTGCGGGTGTCCATGGTTTAGGCGATTTAGGGAACCTTCTACAGTTTTCATAAAAAAAATCTACCAACAGAGATAGCTGTCGTTAAAAGCAAGGCTGCAGCCCTTATAGGCCCCAAACTGCATACCTTATACTACAATTTCCATCCGCATTGCCAACAGGTTACTGCAACCGACCTTGTTGTTAGATATGTTTGGCGTGGACTTTGCACTAAGAAACTGAGACAGGAAACCCAACTTAAGCCAAAATGCCATTGCACCTCAGGCGCAGGGACTTCAATGTGAAGCCTGTCGGTGGTACAAGAAGGACCAAACCGAGAGATTGTGAGAGGGTATAGAGGCCTTCACAGTTAGACTACGCAGGGATCCTTTAGGGCGCCTTTTCCGGATCTAAGGGTTCCAGAATAAGCGCTTCAGGGTTTAGGATTTAATATTGGTTTCCACGTAGTTAGACTCGAAAGGTGATCGAGGGCATGCTAAAGGGACGCTTAGCCACGGGGTGCTAACATTGAGGGCTACTTTTATCCCTACCGGCACTGAATGTCTATTACAAGGGTGGTAGTTCTTCAGGCGTCTATTTCAGAATTAAGGCTTGAGGATATAGTTCACGACTGCTGTTCCATGAGGGTTTGGGGGACATAGGCGACGTAGGTCGGCCTTTGTTAGGGCTCGGGTTTCGACCTTATCGGGGTCGGGGTTTAGGTCGATTCATTGTGGTTTATGGGGCTTGGGCGTTAATGCGGCTCCAGGGCTTTGGGATACGGTTCAGGTTTTGTTGGCTTGACTAGACTTTACGACAGGGAGCGGAGCGTCTGCTGGTTTAGGTTGGCGGCGTTTGTGTGCGGGAGCTGCGGTTGAAATGTTGTCCGGACGGTTTTGATCAGGTTCAGGCCTTGGCGCCATAAACCCTGACTCCTAAGTCCTCATCCCTAAACCCTGGTGTGAGGGTACGTTTCTGCTGTTGTCCACTGATTATTAACCCCGCTCCCTGAATAAGAGTCATATTAGGTCTGGAGGCCCTTAATACAGAGTATATGTAAACATCAGGGTTGGGGGGGGGTGTAGACACAAACAATCCAAAATGATGAATGATCAGTGGTAGTTGTCTCCTGTATGTAATAACTTGTGTTGGGCAATGAGGACGCATGAGTTTACAACTTACTAGCGGCTCAGGTACAAAATGAGAGGGGCCCCGCAGAGATGACCCCCGTCACTCAGAAATCCACCCACATTGCCTGGCCCTTTTCACCGTGAGGAGAACACGCCCGGCATGTTCTATGCCCGGCTTGGATCCAAGGAGCACCTCCACGGGAAGAAGTGACTAAAGACATGCGGGGGTTTCGAAGTCTGTTCCATGCTTTGCCAGAAAAACCAGAGCAAATCAAGCGACTGCCACCTGCTCCCCTCAAAGTTCAAGAGTTTGAGATTTTGGTGGAGTGATTATGTTCTTCTTAAGGGGGAGGGCTTCAAAATCCAAGACCGACTGCTGCCTAGACCCCGAAACTTACATCTCAAACCTCTATGATTACGCCCCAACCGCGACTTTCTGCTCTGTTGTTGTAGGCACGCTCTTGTGCTGGCTTTCCTTTACTGTTTGAGTCCAGTATGTAGGGCTCAGGCTTCAGGTGCTGCTGCCTTCTGGCATAGTGAGCCTAGCACAGGAAAGTATAGCCCAGTCTAGTATAGTCCAGTACATAGTATAGTATACTGCATAATACTGTATAGTACCCATATATATATATATTTGTTTATTTATGTATTTATATTATAATGCACCGAAAAACCGGGCCAGGAGGAGGCAGACGAGCTTCTCGCTGCCAAGGCACATGTCAGAGGGCGTAAACAAGTTCTGGACTTAGATCTGGGGTTCATGGTTTTCGAGTTCAGGGTGTTGAAGGGCGTCGTGCTTTTTCGTTGAGGGTTTTAAAGTTTGGGGGTGTAAGGGTTTGGGATTGGGTCGGTGGGTGATTTTTAACGGTGTGTGCATGTGTAGCTAAAGGTCGAGGAGCTGGGTAAGCAGGCCTGCCAATACGTAGACGGTTGTTCGCTTCCGATGATCACTGGCATATAGGCAGCAGGTGTGCCACAATGAAATAGCTTCCCTATGGCCCCAAACCGTCCCGGCGATGTGATGTGTCATGTCCCACGGAGAATCGGATGACGTCCCGGTACCTTACACACATCGGAGAAACCTGAAGGCTTTGCCTAAGCACGCTATATACAGGTATTCGGGTTGTCCATTGTCTAGCTCTGAAGGCCAATGCCCCCCCCCCCCCCCGACACCCCCTTCCCCACCACCAACCCGAAACCCAAACTGCTAACTAACTACAAATCCCTGATATATCACATTGGGCTCTCTGCCCAAAGCCTGGCAACAGCTATCTGAAGTAGTTCTTGGCCTGACCTTGGCAAACCCAGCCGAGGATCTGTTCTGTTTATTCCACTCTTAGTAGCGGCTTGGTACTGGCTAGATCGTGGATAAGTGCGCTCATGGTGTCATAGTTCTTCATAGGGCTTACCGGAGGCTCATAGAATCTCGTTGATAGTTATTGAAGTTTATTGAGGTGCTTTCTTGATCGTCACCCGATTTGTGTGTGTGGCTGCTCATGTATTTTGCCAGCCATCGTCTTGCAAACCTGTGCAGTTTCCTGTCGACCTCCCCACCTACTATAGGGAGCTGAAGAATTACCAGTAGAATTACCTCATACCAGACCCCCAAACCCATTTTGGTTGTTATGGCTCCCGTACTCCTACCGCTTTGCACGTGCACATGCCTATGTCTTGTATTGGGGATTGCTCCAAACCATGAACTTTCTTGGACGCAGATACCAACGGCCTAAACCCTGAACCCCAAAGCCTGNNCTAGTCGGTACTCGAAGCTCGAGATCAGTCAGGTGCAGAAAGGAGTTCAAAAAAAGAGCCTCACCTTAAACCTGGTTAGGAGCTTTAATAATTTTAACAGGGGTGTATGAATAGGGCGACCTTAGGAACAAGACATTATTCCGTCCCATAGACCCTGCGCTTCCGCGAAAGCCCGCAATCCTTTCAGCACTCTTATCAGCGACCCCCTGGCCCGGACCGGCCCAAGCCTAAATCCTCTAAGCCTTAGAGGTTAGGGTTTTGGGGCTTGGGGTTTAGGGTTTCAGATTCTGCAAGGCCCTACAACCTTGCAGCCTGTAAAGCTCAGAACCCCAACCAAAACGCAATTACTTGTAGCTTCAATCACCGCAAAACCCCTCAAGAAACACGAGTACCCGTAACCGATAACCCCAACCCCTCAACAATAAACCGTAAGCCTTAATTTCAGCCTTATCCCCAAAGCTCAACTCCAAGCCCTAAGCCGCAAAACCCAGAGGCAGCCCTCTCCCGCCCTTGCCAGACCACACCATTAGAGGGCGGGGGGCTGGGGGGCGGGATCTAAACCCTAAACCCTAAACCCTGTATGCCCTAAACCCTAAACCCTAATCCCTAAACCCTTTATGTTTGGCTCCGTTTATCGGCTTTCAGGAGATTCTGATCGGGGGCGAGACTGCGCAAGTCTTCGCCATCAGTCAGAAGGTTCGCAGGGTCTACGGGCTTCAAGGATGTAGGGCTTGAAGGCTTCTGGCTTTTAGGGGGTTTAGGTCTTTAGGGAGTTAGGGCTTTGGGGATTTTGAGCTTCAGGGCTTTAGGATGTTGGGCTTCAGGGCTGTGGGGGTATTGTGGCCTTTAGAGCTGTGTGTCGGTTCGCTGTCGACCCTGCCGGGTTTTGGGACATTTTATGCTTGGGAGGCCTCCTTACTTGGGACCCTAACCCCTAAACCCGAAATTGGGACCCTAAACTAGCCCCTAAACCCTTGGCCCTAAACCCTGAATTGGGACCCTAAGCCCTAAACCCTAACTTGGCACCCTAATTCCTAAACCCCAAATCGGGACCCTAAACCCTGAACCCAAACTTGCCACCCTAGAACCCTGAGTGAAAACCGGCAGACTTTTCTTGAAGGACCCTGGTATCAAGCTCGCTATCATACACCGTAAAGCCTGAACCCTAATCCTAAGTCTGTTAATCAGGGGTGTTGATTACAAGACTGGGGCCGTGTTTGTGCAAACTATCGGTGGGTTTTCAGGCGCCGCTCCAGGGTCGACCATAGAAGAAAGGCGGTTTAGAGGTGCAGGTTGTGGGGATGTGGAGGGTTTAGGGTGTAGGGGTCGGGTTTAGGATTTAGGGTTTAGATGGGTGTAGGGTTTGGGGCAGAGGGTTTAGGGAGGAAGTCGGAAGTCGCATCAGCAGTGTTGCAAATTGAATTCGGGTTTAGGGTTTAGGGTTTCATGAAAGGGCTTTTGCCAATTGCGTGGCACCAGGGAGCAATTGCAGGTGCATCATCCTTGTTTCGTGGTAAGGAACTTGCTAAAGCTACCATGAAGGGCATGTCGAATGTTTGTCTTTTACATGTAGTTACAGACACGCACATGCGTGTATATACATACATATAAACATACTTAGACCGTGTATGATAGTGTGTACACACACATACATATATATATATACACACACATGCTTCATAGATAATTAATGTGCAAGCACATCCCTAAAGTAGAAGCTTAACCTGAGCCATAGCCCGGCATCAACAGTGGCCACATCTTCATCATCGCCGAGAACCCCGAGAGCCCTGGAATTCCGGGTTGAAATTTCAGAGACTCGATGGTTGAAAGTGGCTTTCTTCATTTCTAGAGAGGGAAATGCATCCCAAACCCTGAACCTTAAGCCCCAGATTCTACATGTCAACCATCACTGCAGTGACAGAGAATTCTGACGTTTTGAACCTCAAACCCTGAACCTTACAGAACCCTATGCTCTAAACCCTAAAAATTCGTGCAAACACCAAAAAGGCTCTCAACAAAAACAAAACAACAAACTAAAAACACCTGACTCTAAATTCCCATCACCCCGAGTCCTGACCACGAAGGCTTCTCAAAAACGCAGCTTTCCTGCACGCCAAGGTTCTGTTGTAGCAAGTATAGGGTTTAGAGTAAAACATCCGGGTGTGAGGTTAGAGTGTTTGGGGTCTGGGATTGGAGGATTGAGGCTCTAAGAGGGGTCTCAGGGTTTCCGGTGGAGGTTGGTCGCTGTATGCCTGTTTCGTCAAACCATCTCAAAGACTATGACCCCACATGGTGTCTGTTTCGTGGTTCTTGTCTTCAGTTCGAGGGTGCAGACGGGCAGTTGGCAAGAATGTACCGGCACACCGCGATTTGGTCATCGAGCCCCCTACCCCTAAACCCTAAACCTAAGCCTTCTAAGCCGCAAAAAAGCCTTAAAACCGTCCCCCTGAACCCTAAACTCTAAACCCTAAGCCCCTAAACCCCCAAAAACCCAAAACCCCAAAACCCTAAGCCCCTAAACCCTAAAACCCTAAGGCCTGAACCTGCCTTTCCTCGGGGGTCTTCACGGCCGGGAGGGTCTGCAGTTGAGTTAGTGGCGAACATCCGGGCCTGAACAATTCGAATCATTAGTCCTTCCGGCCCCTGACTAATGAAACTTAGTGCTCTAATATACTTAATCAAATTCAGTACTATATTGTTATACCCCCGAAGCCCTAATCTAGTTAAATGACTGGCTTAGAAGATCTTAGCTTAGAAGCAGCTCGCGAAAGGCACAAGCCTGTTAAAGGGCCCGAACATTGTAGAAATTCTGGAAGGGGATATCCGAAACCCCTAAACCCTAATTCCGAATTTCTGGATGATCGCAGTTGTTGAGGATCTTGATCCGAAAGCTTCTTATGACCGGCAATGTATCCAACAGCCCAGAAAATCCCAAATCTCAATTCGAGTAGCACCAGAGCAGACACCCCGGGCCCCAAAATGTTTGCAGTTAGCCTGAAAACCCTTGTCATATAGAGCCCTTATAGACTTGTAGATCCCTTACAGGAACCCGTCTAAATATTGGGGCTTCGATAGTGACCTTAAAACCCAGGTCAACCGAAGCAGTGGCCAAAGAAGCGGCCAAAAGCCAAGGCCAAGGCCCTGATTCCCAGCTTTGAGACTAGGCTTAGGGTGTCGGGTTTGGGTTTGTGCTCAGGGGTGTGTGGCGAGGGTTTAGGGCTCAGAAGTTTGAGCGTTGTTGTGGGCACAAGGTTTCGAGCTTAGATGGCTCAGACCCTACCTAGGAATCCAATAACTTACTTTTTGTTTGCGCTGTTCCTCATCTGTTCATGTTGTCAGAGCCTACTATTTTGTGGGGCTTGGGATTTCAGGTGTCCCACATGCCAGTCGCTATGGCCCAAGAACTCCTACCCTTCACCCGAAACCTCTCCAAGCCTCCTTCATTCCTGTCGTGCAGGCAGAACCGTCGCCTAATTCGCTGTCCAACGATGAGAGGCAGTCCTGATCCGGCTTATAGCTGCTACTCTACACTTACTATTCTTGTCTTAGCAAAGGTTCGTTACCATAGCAGCAATAACAACAACCACAACCAAAACCACAACAACAACAACAACACCTGCTGCTGCTGCTGCTGCTGCTGCTGCTGCTACGACGACGACGACGACGACTACTATACTACTACTAC